TGCCCGGGTATGTGCTGCCTCCTTTGTTACTGTAATCCTGTTTGCATATTGCTTCCGGTAAAGAATTGCTATTTGCTTTTGTTTTATCCGTTTCGATTTGATGCCTCATGTTTTGGATGACTACCGAAGACTTCTTCAAGCTGAAGACTGCACACGGCACATGATGTTGGTCGTGGTATAAGATAGAATAAACACCTCACCTGAGCGGAGCGCATGGGGTCGAGTCCCCCTATGCCATGTCGACGTTCGATGTTCGACTATAATTCTGACGTGGGTACTAAGGAGAGACACATCTGACATTCTCGAGCCAATAGAAGTCACGAACCATGTACAAGCTTTTTCAGAAGTCCTCCCTCGGCCTCGATCCCGTCGTTCAAAAGACATTCATTGAGGTTGGAATTGAACTTTGGTTCAAAGAATCCTCATTAGCAGATCAGGAAATCCCATTCGCAAATGAATAGGTACCTTTTTCAAATTGCATATTTCTCAAAATTACAACCGGTAGCTCAAAGGGTGATTATAATTAATGCTAATTGCAATGTCAACTTTAATGTAATGGCCTGCATTGCCTGTTCTAGCTTCTCGTGCCGTCAAAGCACAAACACTTAACAAAATGTGGCTGTGAAGCCGTATTGCACCGTGCACGCAAGTGCCGTTTAATCAGCAAATGTCCGAATTATTCACATAATAAGCGAAGGAACCAGTGTATCCATTTTGTGGTGGCTCACCTAAATCAATAACGGAGGCAAGTCAGACATAAGTCAGTCAGTTTCCCTTTAGAGTCAACGCTGAAAACAGTGGCAATTCAGTCGTTTGGTTTCGTCGCTCGTGGAAAGCTTTACCGTATGGTTTCCACCAACGGTCTTCATGCAGCTGCCTACATGGAGAAGTCAATTGCACTGTCCCGTTGGATAGGTGAGGCAACCATCTAGCGAGTGGCGACACGGAACTATAATCAGTGCCTTCACCGTCAGACTGTGACGTTCAGCAGCATCCTGCTATTGTTTTGGCAGCATCATTGCGATTGGAAGTTAATTTTTCACCGCCTCTCTGCTTTGCATCTATGTAGATGTTCGGCAGAAATGGGGAATCGAGCTAGCCGTAACCAGTGCAAAGAAGTCCTAAAGAATCTCCGGATCAAAAGTTGGTGCATGTCAATGCGACTGAAGCATGCCGTCATTCTGTTGCTTTTCGTGGCTTGGCTGAGCTTGACCGGTCAGAAGACGTACCAGTGTCTCTCCGAGCCTACTGCCGTCTCCTTTCGCTGGGAAGAGACGTTTCAGAGACCACGTTTTTCCGTGTGCCATTCTTCCATCTTGAATGACAGTATCCAACGCATTCTCATCCAAGGTTCCAGCAAGGAAGTTCATGACGTCTTCTCAAACCGCTCACTGGTGGATTTCTTCCGCTGGTCGGGTTTGAAACTTTCAGAGATCATCGTCCCCGACGAAAAACTGGAAGCCGATTTCTTGCGCCAAAGTCCGGACTATCTGCAAACAGAGTGTGGTATTTGGAACACAACTATCGACTACGGAAACGGTGGAATCTGCGCCACACTGACACCTTTCTGTCGTGACGTCACTCTTCGTCTTCGCCGGCAGCCCGCCTTCGAAGAGCCCTGGAACGGCGTCATCCTCAGCTACTTCCTCTTCGTGCACGGTGATGAAGAGTACTGGGGCCTGCCGGTGCAGAATGTCACCATGTATCCCATCACGAACGAGACCAGCCTCAAGTCGCTTCACCTGCGTATTGAGCGCGATGTTCGTCCGAACTTGTGGAGGGCACCGTGCGAGGAAGACCCCGCCTACAGTCGAGTGACCTGTCAAAGACACTGCTACTTTCGCTGGCTGAACTGCAGCATGGAGTCATCTTCTGTGACTGCGGATAAGCCCCTCTGCTTAGCATCGGACACCCTCTGGTACATCGACTTTGACTACCTCGGCGAGCGACCCTTCATAAGCTTCCTCACCAATCCCGAAGGCTTGGCGAGCTGTCCGTGCCCCGAGCCCTGCATCCGCGACCGATTCGACTACACAGAACACCCGAACCCGTGGCAGCCGAACGATGAGAACACCTTGGTGCTCCACCTTCGTTTGGGAGAAGTACGCCACACGATGGAGACGTTCATCACCTACACTCCAGGCGATCTTCTCGCCGATGTTGGCGGGTATCTGGGCCTCCTGCTTGGTTTCTCGCTGCTCTCGGCTTTTGATGCGCTCCAGGGCGTGATTGACAGACTGCGCTGTCCATGCTCGAAATCTATCAAACCAGTGGTCCGAGCCAAGAGGACGCTAGTGGTTGCTGGATGCCAAACAGAGCTCAGTCTGGGTGAGTTTGAAGAGACAGAGGGCCTTCGGAAGGCTTCGCGTCATAGTGGAAGAGATGAAGCTACGAGTGACACGGATGGGGAGGGTTGGTCGATGTGTTGAATGACTGGGCATGCTTAAAGGTATTGCGAATCCAGGTCCTTGCAGCGCTTTATGCATACAGCTTGGAGTGACATTGAAACTGAAAGCATGCACTTGTCATCAAGAAACATATGCTAGTAGGCACCTTTGGTTTCGACTTTCGAGGGTAGTTAAGACACGACCACTGACCAGTATCTTGGGTGCAATGAATGCCTTCGCCCCTCACCCTCGTCCGCCGCTCGAATAGGGCAGGCGGGGTGCACTCGGCCCGGTTTTGTCAGCTGGCAGCAGTCGGTTTTACAACTGAGGGCATTCGATTCAGTGTATCCTCCATATCCGTGGTAGGTAGGTACATAGGTAGGTACCTTCTAGGTAGGCTGGTCGCTGGAACCTGGAGCCATTGAGGCAATTAGAATTATGCTGACGCCTAAGTGAACTTTGTAACTAAATTAGCGAATTACGTTTAAAGCACTCGGCTTTCCGAACAGTTTCAAGACTGTATCTAGGTAGGTACCTAGGTAGGGGAAGTTGGGGCAATGCCGCGCGAGTTGGGGCAAAGCCGAAATTCGAGATTTTTCGAAAACCGTACGACATGGATGCCACCTGTCAGTGATGCTCTGAAGCTTAAGTGACTACCAATTATCGCATGTTTGTTACCAGTCGACAGAGTCGTCATTCGGAATACTTCGGCTGTGAGGGCGCCAAGAGCGTTTTCAAGGTACGTTTCCTTTGTACTACATGCGTCTTCGAAGCTGCATTTCCTACTCATTATGCTACCGTTTGTCTGGCCAATTCTGTCAAGTACCTAATCTTCAGCACGTCTTTGCATAAGTGTGCTGCCTATTTGAAATTTATACAGCACGTTGAAAAGTTATGGGCCTGCAAATGAAAGTATGGCTGGCTGGGGTAATGCCGAAAACGTGCAATTACGCGCGTTAACCCGGCAGTTGCTGGGGTATTTCGCCACCCACCGTTTGCTGGGGGGGGGGGGGGCGTTAAACGCCCCCAGCCGATAACTCGAGAACCAATAGGCGCAGCGAAACGCACGAGGCGGCAAACGAAAGAGCGCGACGAGACGCTTCAGATGAGTATTTTAAAGTTGAGTTTTGAGGTCACAGGTCGGGTCAAGGTCAGGTCAAACACCTGAAATCGGCCTTTCAGTAGCATGGACTTCAGGACTTCGCAATGGGCGCCTCTCGTCATAAACTCTGTCAAAATGGTGCACAATCCATCGTATAAGGCCTACAAGAGTGTCAGCTCCATGTAGGGGTCAGTCAAGCATAGGTCAGGGTCAAGGTCAGGTCAACCGGGTAGGCACATATCCCCGAAAATCAAAACTGATATTCGCAGCCCGTGACACATGTTTTATGGGTAATTTGGGGCGTAGAACACGATGGTGACATTCATTTTATCATATGTGTACGTGTTTGGCTAAAAAAGTTTAATTTAAGAAATGCATGTATCATAGTCGTGAAGTAGTCACGAGAAATTGTCAAGATTCAGTTGAAGATTTTTGGAAATGCGGAACGATAATCAATAATCGAAGATAGCCATTTGATTGTTCATGGTATTGGCAGTCTAATGGCGTTTACGGCATGTCTGTATGTCTATTCTGTGATTTTATATGATTTTTTGAACATACGCCGTTTTTGGTCGAAAATTCAAAAATCATGACGTCACTAAAACCTCGATATCTCAAAAATTTTCCGACTGATTTTTTTGAAACTTTGTCACAATAAACTTCAATCAATTCCCTACAGGTACCCAAAATTTGGCGCGCCTGCGGCGCGCCGTTTTTATGCTATGGCCCGGCGAAAAAAGTGGGGGCGTTTAACGCCCCCCCCCAGCAACTCGCGGGTTAAAGCACGCTACGTGAACTTTACCGCTGTAGAATAGCAACGCGTATTTTTAGTCACACAAATTACACTTTTAACCGACACAACGGCCTGTTACCATAAGGAATGATTTACCTGGCCTTTTCTTATTATATCACACAATTATAACTTCCAGTGTGCACCAAGCGTCCTCAAGCTCTTAAAACGCGTGTCAGCTTTGACGAATTCTGGATAAAATTTGACATAAAATAGCAAAACATCAATTTCGGCATTCCCGTAGATCATTTCTCCCATTTTCGGCTTTCCCCGCAGTCCGGGGCAACGCCGAAAAAGTCACTTCTTTGATATTTTTAGTTTGTGCGCTTAACGGTATGCGAATTCATCAAATGCGCCTGGTATGTTTGAAAGGCAAAAGACTGGCCTCTCGAATGACGCCAACAAGAATAGCTTATGTTGTCTACCTTGCGTGCTACGGGCGTCAGAAAAAAAGTATTCGGCGTTCCCCCAACTTCCCCTATTCTTGTCACTTCGTCGGCGGCATAAATTACGTTTAAAAGGAATCCGCATGATAAAATATCGGTTTCGATACTTTGACTTGGAATGTACACCTTCTATGATGTGATTAGTTCAAATACACCCGCTTTCGATTCGACCGCTTGTGCAGAACTTTATAGAGTTCCGACTTCGTAAACTATGTTTGTCATTTCTATCGGGGATTCATAAGTGTAACGACATCGCCAGTTCAAGGTCATCGGATATCCGTCTGCTGTGGAGCAAATCGTTACGGGGCTTCCGGTCGATTCGGATTTGTTGGTTTTGCGACGCTCCGGAACGTTCTTTCCCTATCTATTTGTGAACGAATTCTGTTACTCGTTAGCTCGCTGGGTGGTCGCTCTTGCTTGCTCTCCTGCTCAAATTGTTGCCTACACTTTTATCTCTTTTTGAGACGGTTGAGACCTTTGTGATCATACCCTATCAAAGAATGAATATTTTTGCCCTGCTTCTGACCTTGCTGCTGGTTTTCTCTGCATATATTGTTGGATGTAAGTATGCAACTTGTGTAAGAATATTTGCATGCTTCAGTCTAGCTATCATTGATTATGACCCCGATTTAAAACACTTTCTAACACGTGCCCAGTGCCCACGTTCTTCAGCTACATCAACATACCTCAACCCAACCTCAACCTATAGGTCTATGCCAGGACTGACCCCTGGGTAAGGTTGCAAGTGCAATTGATTATCAGGTGCTCAGCTAATTCTTGATCACATAATCTCGCTTTTCAGGTACACAGTACAATCGCCTAACATCTAAAATGAATGTTCATTCTTCTTTATGTGGTATGCTTTGTATGCAAATGCCCATTTCCTTCTGCAGACCTTAGCAAACTTGCATTCTCCTTTTTATGTAGGTATGTAGGGAGGTAAAGATTGATTGGTTTCTCTCTACTCAGGGCTGGTTAGAATTTATCAATAATACTGTGTGCTTTTTCCTTCCTTTTCAGGTGAAGGCCTGCGATGCCATGAGTGCTCTTCAGCAGACCACACTGCCTGTGAGGACCCATTTGACAAAGACCGTGCCAAAGCAGCTGGCTTTCTCACATTGTGTGATGAGCCCACCAAGCAGGGGCAGCGGGTGCTCTGTCGGAAAACACACCAGACAGGTGAGATTCCAGTCTGTCTGAGCACATGACAGTGTAATTGGCACACCAGCAAAGCTGCTGAGGCTGCATTGGCTCTTATGTAGTTAGACACAGTGCTGTTTGTACAAAGTGAGTGTTTTATGATATAGGATAGAAAGAGGAATGATTGTGGTTATCATCTGTGAGATTAAAATATTTATACTTAACCAATTATGGTTTCATGATCATCTACCAATTACTGTCTTTACTCTTCAGTATTTCTAGGGCATCAGCTGATGACTTAGGCTCATCTGCAGTATTGAATTGTCAAAATGCCAGTCCTACTATGTGTGTTTTTCCCCACACTTTGGAAGCCTTACACTATTAGTCCACTGATGACCTTTTGGCCACACCCATCGATGACCATGTCACGCCATGTCATTCCAGTGCTGGGCAACGTGCGCATAATCCGCTCGTGCGGATACGCCAACCACAGCGAGACTTGCGTGGGCTCCCGCAATGCGGAGGTGGTGGTTCGCTCTTGCCAGTGCTTCGAGAAAGACGGATGCAACGGAGCGACTACGATGACAATCGCCGGCACCGTGGTGGTGCTGGCTGCCGCACTGCGCGCCATCTACTGAGCGCCGCCCTAAGCTGGAGTTCGGAGCCCCACCAGTAGGTTATGTTTGTGGAGACATTCTGTTCCTAAGATCACAATGTTCGTTTAGGATGTGTAGTTTTGTTATCGATCTTACCATGTGATATTTTGCTACGCCATATTTACTTGTGGTTCATTTTTCCAAGACAATCAGGAGTTTTGCATTTGGATGTGATATTTTTGCCGATAAGTTTGTATACAATATTTCAGTGTCACATGTCGTGTGTTAGGATATTTGAGTGATCTCACACCTGTGTTTCGGTCAGTTCCGGGGCTCCGGAGCTCTCAGTCAAACGTAGTGTCCTGGAATGACGACTAGACTGGCTTGGTAGTGCCGTGTCTGTAGTCTCTCGGGTCGATGTTGCTCACACACCCTACTCTAGTCAGATACTCTTCCACTTTGGCCAATAGATTTTAAATGGATTCATGCGGTAGAGCTTAACAGTATTAGAGAACTGTTACCATGATGATTAAATTCAGAGATCAGGCGATTGGATTCGCTATGGATGTCTTCTGTGTTCTTGCATTGACACATCAAAAGAGAGTTAGAGTCTTGCCTCATGCTTCCAAAGATAAAGGCTTTGAGGGCATACCATTTCGAAGTTAGTTCATGGGAACAGGCAAACATATAATTTTGTGGCAAGACACTCCGAAGCTCCGAGATTGGACGTGCCCGGGAGGCATCATGTTCAGAATAAAGACATTCGTACAGCAGGGGTTCAACATTCCTACTTATATGCTACGTGGTTTCTGTACGCCGGTAACAGGGTAGACGTTCATAGTGGCCAACTAACTACGTAATGCAACATTATTGTAAACCGGGTACATTGCAAATGTCATTATTGTTACCATGTATATTTTTCTACTTATTTTGGTGTTGACATCCAAATGACATCACTATTCGAACAGGGAAGCCGAATTTCTGTTGTTGTTTTTTCGATGTCGCGCGGTCAGATCTTTCCACATCGTGGTTAAATGAAGAGCCTGTTCTGCTGTCAAACATTGCATTTAGACCAGCAGACCTAGCTCAATGCTTCCGTCCCTATTGACTTAAAGTCTTTTCCAGTGCAAGGATATATGCCAAGACAGTTTGATGTTTCAACGATCCATTTTTGAACGGAACTTTGATATGAATGTGAATCGGTGCGATGGTTGAAGTTGTGATTTGGGCGGTACCATAAGCCATATTTATTAAAATTGAGCTATTTGTGCCGTATGCTGGCATCGAGAGCAGTTGTCACTGGTATTTTTGTAATTTTTACGTTACAGATTGTATTGTATGATTTTCTTTTCAAAAGGCTGTCATTCGGTAATTTCCAGGATATATGCTGAGAGGATTTCTGAACTATTTCCTCGAAGAGAAAGCCATAACTTGATAAACGGGCTAATATTCCTAAATGGGTTATTTGAGCGAACTTTAATGCAAACTTACTAGATGGCTTCACAGTCGCGTCACTGAAGCACAGCGGCGCAAGTTAGATCGTGCTAAACTAGCTGCCTTTCAGATCTCAAATTGAAATGTGCATACGTAGCGAGGTCACGATACCAGTATGGTTGCAGTAGCCAAGTGCCTTTGTTTTGTAGATGCCTGTGTGTGTGCGAGACTGAAATAAATGTGAAAGAACGAGATCTGATAGTATCAAACGGGTTGTTGTCTTGGGAGAGAAAATAGTATTATCGGTCAGACAAGTCAGCATTTACATAGGGCCTTTGCATAATGAAATCAAATAGTGCCAAAAAGGCATATTTATCAACAGTCAACACAAGCAGATACAGCCAGTCAGGGTACATAAGTGCTCAAGGTCATCGTGATGTACTACGTAGATGATAGTTTTATCACTCGGACTTACCTAGAATGTTTTCAGCTTCGGCAGTTTGTCTTGTGGCTCCAACCGCGCACCCACCTCCCACCGTGTCCCGTTCACTACTGCGGCCACGCAGTGACCTCCGCCAGGTCATACGCAGAGGCGTACTCAGGGAAGGCGTGCTGGGGTGCATCCTCCAGGCACGAGCAAAATGTTTCAATGAGGTGTAGAAATCATTGTCGCGTCATTCATCGATCAATCCAGCAGGTCGGTGCTCCCAAGAAAACATTGTTTGAGTAACATGATATAATTTATTTATTACATTATATAAAACTGGAATCCCACCCGCAGAGAGAGAAGGACCAATCACGGACATATGTGTACAAGATCAACAAAGCGAGGCGATGACGTAGAAAAGGGGGCGTTTTCTTCTCGAGAGCGTGTGGCATACAGAATTCCAGAACTTGGCAACACAGTCGACAAAGTTTATCCGCTATTTCCACCAAATCGCTCCGAAGGTACGATCTTAGGTACGGACAAAGGAACAGTGTGAAAAATGTCGAGTTGTGGCTATGGCCACAGCAGTCGCCCAGTCAAACAATACGAAATCTTAGGCAAACAGTTCACGAAATGCCACAACACGTTGTTTTAACCAGCCCGTTGGATATTATGTGATTGAGCGAGCTCTCAGCTGGAACGAGCATAACGTCGGACAGGGGCGGCATCGCGAAATAGATCTTTCAACATGGCGGTAGTCTCTCCACAACAGAGAACAGGGTATAGTCTATGTTGGCCCGAGGGCTCGGCAGTTTTGAAATCCTGAACAGGTGCGGTATCAGTGGTAACGAAGCGATATATATGGTAACAGTGTGGTAATCATAGCTTATGAAACGACAACAATATTTGCACGTTCATATACCTAATAATTGGTAGCTAACGGTTTTCACTTTGCAGAGGTTTTGATCTCATCCTGTGGCAATATTAGAGATGGTATCTAGTCGAATCTATCATGGGATTATCTGACAACCTGTTTGCGACATCTCCAGGAAAATTTACTACGGTAACAAGCATCTGTCACAAAACCGCGACGACCAATGAATAATTGCATTTCCGGCCCGGACTGCTCTTGCGTTCCAGTGACGTCATCCACCGTCACGACCTCAGACTTGGGAGCTCACAGAAAAGGGAAATACAGCCACAGAAGCCCACGACGCCTCAAGAACTGGACGGAGGAGGTAGATACGCAAAGACGAGCAGGATTCCAAAACATAGTCGCTGCACACCGACCGTCGTCGATAGGAAGGTACAATTCAGGTTCACATTATCAAGATCCCGCAACCCGTCACGAAAAACCTCGTCAAATTAAAGCAGAGATCCCCGTAGAACGTAGAAATCTGGGGCGAGGCGAACATACACCGCACGGGCCCCTAACACTGATATACACGTATTTACAGCTCAAAACATGTATGGAGACATCAGGTGGCTAGTTTGTTAACTACAGGTTCAAGGGCTTAATGCAGACGGCCAGTTTAGCCCCTTGGCCAGGGAGCCCGTAGTTAAAGCCGTATAAAATTGATTGAGCAGCTCCTCAGTTGGAGGTACTCGCTGTGAACTAAGGAGCGGATGGTACGGTCCGGCTGCCGGGGCGCGCCCGGGCGAGAGCCCTGAATTGGAGAGCAAGTAATCTAAACATGAATTGTCACAGAGCCGTAGAGCGACCAACAAAACTCTCCTGAACGGAGGGACACAAGTCGGGCAAATCACGCTCGGGGTGTCGATCAAGTGGGCTTAGTCATTGAGCTGGAATTGACCTCTCCCGTTCTTGACGTCACTGCATTGCTATTGGCTGAATCAAATCAACAGGACAATTGTACTTGGGGACGTCGAATGGTGACCCGCTTTCTACATGGAACAGCACATCGTCTACCACAACAGCTAACAAATAACAGTCAGTAAAACCTACCGGAAACGGTACAACAACACATACCACACGACCATAACGCCACCTAGCGGAGACAGTGCTAATTGCCAACCTGCTGGCGCGTCACATCTAGCTAGGTACCGCGCACAACAAGAAAATGCCCAGCGTTCAAATGCTAAACGAAAGTCTACCAACCGTGTGCACAGAAATAAAACTTTGTGGTACCCTGAATCAGTACGGAGCTTCAAGAAGCAGACTTTCTGGTCATCCGTAATGGACAACGTCTTTGGCTGCTGCGTAGACGTTAGTTTAAAAATGTCTCCTAGATGGCGTTGCGGTGAGGGCGCCCACGCGCACAGTTAACACACATAGAATGTGAGACTTACGTCTATATGGAGCACCTTTCTCTGTAACAACAAAACGAGGTCATGGACTGTCGGCGGACACACAGATGACGTCATATATATCCGCCGGGAACACTCACACAAACACGCGCCGCGCCTGACATCTATCGGAGACAGGCGAAAACGTCGCCGCCATCTTAACCGCCACCATCACGCGGCCGCTCTGCGCTGAGTCCCCGCCGCGTGGCGCTATGTATGCACTGAATGCCTGCAGAGGCGGCGGCGACCCGGTATATGCCCGAGGCGCTTCCAGCGAAGAGGACAGAGGAGTGCGAGTGCACATATTGAGGTAGAGGGCCTCTTCGAGTGCCAGCGTCCAGAGTGCACACATACGCCGTAACCAGCCATGGCGAGAGCTTCGTGTGCCAAACGTTGAGTTGAACGAACCACCAAACATCGCGTGCTTCGCTTCTTCTTCAGCGCTGCGCGTTTAAAGCTGCGCTAAAAGCAAACGTCGTGACAGGTCATGTAGTGCCAAGCCATTCCTTCGCCACATTGCGCCTGCGCTTACGGCACCGTGGCTGCCAACGTCACCTAGCGTCGACCCGCGCGGCTTAGTTTCGCCGGGCGGCCGCGACGCGGCGCCACCGTCGCCATCAGTCGCCACTCTCGGCACGAGATGGTGACCCGTTCAGCTGATTGCGGACCCTGAACGTGCGGAAGTCGACGGCGCTCGTGGGGGTGATGGTAATGCCGTTCTCTGGGGGCATCATGGGTCCTACGCAGGCGTGCGATTTGAGCTCCTGCTGCTTGGCAAACCTGGCGGAAAGGGGATAGAAACTCGTCAGATATTTTCTGCGGTCACATAAGCAAGGCGCTCATGGTTTTCGAAGCGCGATCTGTCATCTCTCCTCGGAACCAACCCAATCTTATCTATGCTCACATTTTCTAGCCACATTACCCAGACAACCGGGGAGAGAACAAGCATAATCGCTCCTGTGTGATCGCTTGTAGGCTGGGTGGCCCAATCACATACCTACCCCTGTCTCAACGGGATAGGCTCAGCCACTACGGGCGCCAGTCTTAACCAACGTCTCCCCACGACCCACATCCTAGCTTCAGAGCTCCCTGAACTGGTTTCAATAGATCAAAAGGTAGGACAGCAACATTTCCGGACGCTAGTGGCCTCACAGCATGGCGTTATCGACGAAGGTGCTCACAATATAGCCGTCATCGACGTAGGTCATTGCAATATGGCGTCATCTCACCTGTGCTTGCAGACGATGCACTGAAACGGCTTTCCACCCGTATGAAGTCGCATGTGTACGGTGACATGGTCCTGTCTGTTGAAGCCTCGGCCACATATCAGACATTTGAAGGGCCTCTCGCCTGTGGGTCAGGTCAGGTCACGGTCAGAACAGGTTGAAGAAGATAACGCAGCAGGGGACGTTGGTATGAACTCGCCGGGTGGGGTAAGGGCACACTTCAGGAGGGTAACAGTGCTTGTGACTGGGTCACGAAAGAGGCCAGTTGAAGTGAGCAAGTGAAGCAAATGTTGCGTGTTCGACTTCGGTGTGGGTCAATGAAGACATTTGATCTATTTGAGGCGAAAAGGCCGAGTCCATGGATTATCACATGGAAGGATCACGTTGGCGCAGTGCGATGTTATCCCAGACGCATAAAATAAATGCCGTTGACCATATCAAAGTCTACGTCTGTACACACACTCAGGTTATTGATTCCTTGTCGGCGGACCTGCCTCAACCAAAGCCCTCTACTTGGCGCTAGTTTAGTTCCCGGACCCTCCGCTAGGTGTCACCTGTGTGCAGCCGTAGATGTGCCAGGAACCGGTCCCGTCGCCGGTTGTTGAACGTTTTTCCGCACAGGTTGCACTCGTACAGTCGAGGTAGCGGCTGTGCCCTGGGGAAGCAAAGGTCACATAGGTCATACAGAGGTCAACACCTGTGCTCTGTGTGTCCTTGCAAAGGGAGTACAAGAGTTAGGCATTTATGTCATTCTTTTAACCTCATTCCTACGCTTTACGAGCATAATCGAACTAACTTGCTTGGGCCCAGGCAGTGGGAAAATAATATCCGTAATATTTTCCACTGAACAACAAACACTCTTTTGGCAAGCTTGTCATGTCAGCTCAGAGCTCACCCGTAAGCACGTAAACGTAAACGACTATAAAGTATTAGGTAAAACATAAAGTACGGTGTAATGTTACGATGTAGTTTCGATAACGATTTTAAGTTGGAGGTAGTTACGACACTTTGGTACCGTCTCAGCTAACTCCACTGCTGTGCAGCGCTGGCAACATTCGACTACAGGAAGGATATCGCCCGGGCAACATGCTCTGCTCTGCAGCCTAACGGGCACAGCTGGAGTCGGAATTAGCGGCTATCGCAAAAACACTCGAGGAAAACAGAGAATTGCGGAAAAGACAGAGCGCTAGAGACTAGAGAGCTTGGCGTATGGGTGGTTAGAGCTCTGGGTGCCTGGATGCAGGATCAATAGGTCACAGGGTACCTAACTAGATGGCAGGATTAGATGGTCGGCGAGGTTAAATAACTTACATTTTAGCTTCATAGGTTTAACAAGCGTAAGTTTAAGTTTAGCTACACATTAACGTTCTAATAATCTAATAACAGTTAAGCTATCTGATAAGCATCAGGTTCGCACATCTTTATGAGAATTTTGAAGGAAACGTGCATTTAACAATTTAAGCTCTGTAATCATCATACATGAACAACCAAAAAAAACGTTACGAACTTCCTAGCTCGTCAGGAAACTGGGCGAAATCACTCATTCATTATCACTCTTGTTCGAGGCATGATCTCCTGACTGGACCATGTTTGGCGCTACATGCCGCCTAATTTTCAGAGACAGTACCCGGACCAGTGGTGAAATCACCCGGCTGAAACCGGCCCCGGTGTTGCGGGTTACGGAGAGGTCAACATTCTGTAGATGTTGACTGGCGGTCACCATGGTTTAAACGACAAACGGCCAACGGGCCTCAGCAGGCCAGGCTTTACAAGATGGAGTGGCCACTGTTATTCAGAGATTGATGATAGAACCCGGGAAATCGATGCATCAAATGCGGAATAAAATGCACGATAATTTATTAAATGTTGCACCCTTTTGCATCATACTGGATATATCTAGTAAACATAGGTTAGCTAGTTGATAGTTTCTGCATTTATCACGACTAGCGAGGAATCCTGCCGTGCCAGCGATCTCTTCAATCAAGGACCACACCTAGACCCTCTGGCGATAGCCAGGCCAGGGGGGGGGGGCGATCGTGAGGAGGGAGAGGAGAGGGGGAGGAGGAGTTCGGGCGGACCACACCCTCGTCAGGACCATGGCCTCCGTCTGCAGCCAGCGGGAGATCAGACTGATAGACCAGCTGGGTCTGATACATCACGACATAAAACGGCCACCTGCCGGGGGTAAAGCGCTGGTGGGGGTTCGCTGAAATTCAGACCTGATAAAATGAGTTGTAGCTGGTTGTAGGCGAGGGGTGTTCTTATTTTCCCGAAAAATTCAATTCGGTAGGTGAGCGACTGTCTTGCCAGATGGTACGAATATGAAGGACTCAGTGGCTGCTTGCCTTTCTCGCCAGCTATGGAGTTCGGAATGTAGTATCAACCGGCTGTGTCACTTTACGGGAATTTAAAAATTTATCATGAAGATAACCTTGCTTCAGAAAAAAAACTGCCTGAAGGCTAGGAAATCGACCATATCAGCCTCGGTCATCTCGACACAGTGTCCGTGACCTGATTTAGAGACATAAGTAATAACTACTCAATAGTCACGTGCTCTAAATTCGACATCGTCCATACTCCATTATCACTTCAAGCTCATTTAACCCTATTCCGTCCTACAGTTGTGATCAATCAATCTCGCTGCAGCTAAAGCATGTAACTTTTTAACTTAACATTATCCTCCTTTCTCTGTCTTTTTGTGTTCTTTCTTTCATCTCCAGCATCTATATATAGTCCATTGTCACCCGCCCTCCCGTGATGACCACCCTGAGTGCGCCCTTGCCGCGCGACCCGACCCAAGTCGCCTGCGGCTACATACCTGGGCCTCCCCCGTCCGTGGGGGTACAGGTTTGCGTGCTTCCAGCCGGCTGGATGCACCGATACCACCTGAAATAGAAGGAAAACACCGTCAGTTGAGCGTTAAGTCGAGATAATTGTTCGGAGACAACGGAAATACAATGTTATTATTTGAAGCGTGGCAAACACAACAAAATAGCTGTTCTGGCATTTAAACGCCATGTTGTAGCTCGGTAAAAGAAAACGGCGTGTAAACACTTATGCTGTGTTACCTATACACAGTTCCCGAAGAATATAGCTCAAGTCTAGCCCGACAAATAGGTACCGTACGTTCTAGTCCATGCTTGTAAACCCCGTGACCCTAGACAACAGCCTCTTGCTGAATGAATCTCTCTTCCCGGACCGTTATTCTGCGTGATGGATGCAATTATCTGTACTCTGTTGTAGCGGTTTGGTCCCATGGTTTGATCTTCTACGCACCGTCGAATAATGTCAAGGTAAGACTCATGCCTTACCTGTTAAGTTATGATAGTAAATGCTGCATTCCTCGTGTGATTCGGTTTGCGTGTTTGATTAGGGTGTGTCTGAATGCTGTTCTAGCTATAGGTTGAACATTTTTTCGTGCTTATATGTATCGGGAGTTAAATGAAGCGTTGCTTAGTTTGATAATGTGGGTCCACGTCAAAACAGCTAGTGACTATTGAGCTAGTGACTTTTGAGCTAGTACAAAAGAGCTAGTGCTTCAAAACAGCTAGTGACAACACAGCTAGCGCCAAAAAAGCTAGTAATGCAAAATAGCTAGTGCATTAAATCAGCTAGTGACTAAACAGCTAGCGTCAATATAGCTAGTAGAGCAAAATAGCTAGTGCTTCATTATAGCTAGTCATAAGCGTAGGAACCATGGGTGCAGTGGGTGCAGTTGCACCCAAAATAATTCTCCAGTGGGTGCAGACAATGCATTCTGCACCCACAATAATCTGGAACAAAAACCCCTTTTCTCATCAACACTACTTCCCATGCAGCACAACAAATTCAGGATATTTTGCCCACTTTCCACCTTTAGAAGCGTTTGCTACTGTGATGGTCTGGGATGGTGATTGAACACATACCGATGAACCACTGTCAAAAGTTTTAGCCCGATACCTATCTTCGAAAATGGCTAAGTTAGCCGCATTTAGGTACTTTTTGCGGTAGTCAATATTGACATTATCAACGCTTCTAAATACACTTATCATCGGTAGGTACCTTTTCGACATGGTACACCCTCAAAGCTCACAAGTAGCCTCCGCTCGGGTGCCGCTCCCTACCCCCTCCCCCCCCCCCCCCGGCTTCACCGGCCATGGCTGGATTTCTGCACCCATGCACCCACAATGTTCCAGCCGTTCCTACGCCCATGTAGCTATAGAAATCGCTAGCGTCGACTAATAGCTAATAAGCAAAATAGCTTATTCGTAGAGCAGCTATTATAGATTCTTTCCCGACGAAGAGTCCCCACGGGTAGAAGGAGCAGAAGAGCACCGTAGTTTGACAAAATTATTTGGAATGCTAGGAGGGCAGAGGACGGGAGCCCTAGGACAAACAACAAATTAGAAGCGGGGCACCGGGGAATTAAAGAGATGGCATATCGCGGGAAATACATCTTTACAGTCATAGATATCTTGCATTTTTGAAGCGAAGTGAAAGGGAAAGGAACAGAGGTCCAACGAAATTGCTATTTTGACGATAGCTATTTCGTCACTAGCTGTCTTGAGGCACTAGCTCTTTATGCTTCACTAGCTACTTTGACGCTAGCTGTTTTGTCACTAGCTGTTTCTAAGCACTAGCTATTTTGCTTCACTAGCTATTTTGACGCTAGCTGTTTTGTCACTAGCTGTTTTGAGGTACTAGCTGTTTTGTACTAGTTCAAAAGTCACTAGCTCAAATGTCACTAGCTATTCTGACGTGCGGGTCCACGTCAAAACAGCTAGTGACTATTGAGCTAGTGACTTTTGAGCTAGTACAAAAGAGCTAGTGCTTCAAAACAGCTAGTGACAACACAGCTAGCGCCAAAAAAGCTAGTAATGCAAAATAGCTAGTGCATTAAATCAGCTAGTGACTAAACAGCTAGCGTCAATATAGCTAGTAGAGCAAAATAGCTAGTGCTTCATTATAGCTAGTCATAAGCGTAGGAACCATGGGTGCAGTGGGTGCAGTTGCACCCAAAATAATTCTCCAGTGGGTGCAGACAATGCATTCTGCACCCACAATAATCTGGAACAAAAACCCCTTTTCTCATCAACACTACTTCCCATGCAGCACAACAAATTCAGGATATTTTGCCCACTTTCCACCTTTAGAAGCGTTTGCTACTGTGATGGTCTGGGATGGTGATTGAACACATACCGATGAACCACTGTCAAAAGTTTTAGCCCGATACCTATCTTCGAAAATGGCTAAGTTAGCCGCATTTAGGTACTTTTTGCGGTAGTCAATATTGACATTATCAACGCTTCTAAATACACTTATCATCGGTAGGTACCTTTTCGACATGGTACACCCTCAAAGCTCACAAGTAGCCTCCGCTCGGGTGCCGCTCCCTACCCCCTCCCCCCCCGGCTTCACCGGCCATGGCTGGATTTCTGCACCCATGCACCCACAATGTTCCAGCCGTTCCTACGCCCATGTAGCTATAGAAATCGCTAGCGTCGACTAATAGCTAATAAGCAAAATAGCTTATTCGTAGAGCAGCTATTATAGATTCTTTCCCGACGAAGAGTCCCCACGGGTAGAAGGAGCAGAAGAGCACCGTAGTTTGACAAAATTATTTGGAATGCTAGGAGGGCAGAGGACGGGAGCCCTAGGACAAACAACAAATTAGAAGCGGGGCACCGGGGAATTAAAGAGATGGCATATCGCGGGAAATACATCTTTACAGTCATAGATATCTTGCATTTTTGAAGCGAAGTGAAAGGGAAAGGAACAGAGGTCCAACGAAATTGCTATTTTGACGATAGCTATTTCGTCACTAGCTGTCTTGAGGCACTAGCTCTTTATGCTTCACTAGCTACTTTGACGCTAGCTGTTTTGTCACTAGCTGTTTCTAAGCACTAGCTATTTTGCTTCACTAGCTATTTTGACGCTAGCTGTTTTGTCACTAGCTGTTTTGAGGTACTAGCTGTTTTGTACTAGTTCAAAAGTCACTAGCTCAAATGTCACTAGCTATTCTGACGTGCACCCGATAATGTTACCATTCGAGCATAATTGTAACATTCTAAAACGCTATAGGTAGCCGTATTTTTTTCATGACAGGTAGACTTTTACATGCACTTCAATATCATAACATTAGATAGTTTGGGCTATCATGACTCGACAATCAACAAAAACAGCTGATCGAAAGGAAGGTGAAGACGATCGCATCTTTTACGATCGCACAAAAACATTACATGGCCACGCCACAGCTCTGTTGGTCGCCGAGCAGACACCCTACAACTCGGGGGCGTATTCGGCGCGGCCGCCGCCGACGGGCCGCATAGCGGTGCATTTTGCGGCGGACATCGGCGCCGTGACGTCACCGGCTCGCGGCCTTTGATTGGTCGAGCGGGCTCATGGGCTGGCTCCATTGTCACGGTCAAGGACCGCGAAGCTGCGCTCGCGGCGGTCTACTCTGCCTCCTCCGTGCTCTGTCCTGACCGGAACCGTGGCTGCAAACGGCGCCAGGATCGCCGCAGGTGCGCCAGAAGCGTCTCCGATGCAGGCTGCCCGCCGCTAGGTCACCTTCGTAGTCGGAGGACCGGTTTATATGGCAGGGCCGATAGGGGGTCCCTTGGTGACCTCTGCTAATGACGTCACAGGACATAGTATCGCGTTTTAGCACGAGCCGGGTCAAATAAAGGCATCAATGTCCAGTGAGACGTAGAATGGGAGGTTCTCTTAGGGTAGGCACAACCGGTTCATGGTTTGATGTGTTGATCAACAAGGAAACCACAGGAGGACTCGTAAGGGTATTCAGACTGTCTGACTTCTCACAAGACAGAGCTTTCTCCCCGAGTTTCTCTGCAGAGGGAACAACTGTCTTGTTCAGGTCGTTGGGAGCTCAGTTTCTCTTGGGTTTGTAGCTGTTCATCTTGTTCGACGTTACCAAGGGCTTAGACAATCTGAACGGCATGCCGCCAATCTACGCCATAAGCCATGCGCGGGGATAACAGTTTCGGTTAAGACGAGAAAAGCTTGTTTCAGTTTGACGATTACATATGTATGGCTACGAAAGTTGGCGAGACTACATTTCCTTTGAAGCATCAGCGCTTGCGTTGAATGAACTTAGTGTACGCATATCCTTCTAGTTTGTTCCTATGTTAAGTTGATCCTGCACCAAACTTGCGATTATCTTGTAGTTTGTTGCTTCGGATCAACCCCTCGCCTTTTCCAGGGGGAAACCAATAAGCTATCTTTCGGCAACGGTCACCCTCACCCAACGTTTCGTTCCATTCCATCATATCATTCCTCAAAAGCAACCCTTCGCTGCATCCAATACAGGATATGACTTTATTTCGTCCTAAATAGGATCAATGCACCGCGGCGCGGTGCGGTTGCTAAGAATGGTGTCGTAGCCTGCTCTGGTTATGGCTGCGGCACGGTTTCGTTGCTATGGTAATGTCACTGGTCGCCATGTTTGCAAACTCGACTTCCATGGTAACGCACTGTGCGGCGGAAACTCTTCATCATATTGTGGCTTCGGTTTGAGTTTTATTTGCGGTCGCCTGATAATCGTTTCACATACTTAGCGCGCCCTTCATCCGTGCTTAGTAAATGGGTTGGAACTTGAATAAATGTTTTAAGACTGACGAAAGAAGTATCAGCTAATGATGCAGAACTACCATTGTCATCATTTGCGCCCTACAACAAGCTCGCTCGTACAAATATGGAAATCTTCTTAATCATAGCATCTAGCTAACTATCAAGCAGTTGTCCATCAATAAGAAAGGATTCTTACAGCGATCTTATCGCCTGCATAATGTGCATATTCTCAATCGATCTGGGATACCCCAAGGTAGTCCTTTAGCGCCCCTCGACTTGTTCCAAGCTCTCGTGGCATGATGAACAGTTGCGTGCGC